TAGATCACCGCTCTTTGTTGAGCTGGCATGTTGTTGCCATTATAATGTTACTATCCATCTTAAAACTTGTTTTTCTTTCGAGAGGGAAAGATGGAAAATAAGCGGCTGTTTGTGTGGGAAGGTGGAAATGTTCTTGAATCTGGAGATTGAAAATTAATTACTAGTTTGAAAGACATTCAATGATGATTCATTTTAACCAATTAACAGAAGTCTTTCTAATGGCTGGTATTCTACGTGCATGGGAACACTGCCTTACTAAGCTGTTGAATGTGATGGAAAGCATTCAATGAGTAGTGTTATGTGCACTGAGCTTTCCAGGGAGACAGATCTGTTTCCAGATTTGGACCCTTGGAAGAGTGCCCCTTGGTAGGACTCATCTAAAATCAGTGAGGATTTGGCGGGCTTACCAGTTATCATCAATAGTAGTAAACTGCCAAAGAACAGCCATTTCAATTCACCAGAATGTTTTCTGCAGCAACAGTTTTCTTAGGGATGTGTGAGAAATCAAGGTGACCACATCTTTGTGTGTAATGGAGTGCTGGTGAGGACAAGTGTCAGATGTTCTAAACTTCTAAGGCACAGCAAGTCTAGATACAACCAAATCCTGACAATCGATCTGGGTCATTGCAGGAGGGTACTTGCTGAGGTCTTATTTGGACAGGATACCACCTATATCAGTCATTGTGTGCAACATGACACAACCTAAAAGAAGATGTTAAGAGAGTGCAAAAGAAGAGAAATCATGTGTGCTGAAGTAGACTCATTAGGTATCCATTCTGATTCCTACTTTCATAACACAAGTCATCTTACAGAATTTTACGAGGGGTATTTTTTAAGTAAGGTCCGTTTTGTTGTAGACACTAGTAGTTCACGCGCATACCACAACGAGTGCGTGCGTCATGTACCGGCATGCTTTGGGAACAACTGTGCTCAGTTTCCGCCCTGTAGCTCACCTGTACGGTTCTGTTCTGTGCTTTAAAAATGTTTAAGACTATCAACTCACCCTCCGCATATGAGGTTCGCTCAGTGATACGGTTTTTGTCAGCAAGGAACCTGCCTGCTGCAGAAATTCATCAACAGATTTGTGAAGTGTATGGTGATACTGTTATGAGTGAAAGCAAAGTGCGTAAGTGGGTACAACAATTCAAAGATGGCCGTGACAACATCCATGATGAGGACTGCTCCAGTCGCCCTTCTTTGATTACAGACAATTTGGTGGCTTCAATTGAAGCGAGCGAACCTCACATGCGGAGGGTGAGTTGATAGTCTTAAACATTTTTAAAGCACAGAACAGAACCGAACAGGTTAGCTACAGAGCGGAAACTGAGCACAGTTCTTCCCGAGAAATGCCGGTACATGACGCACGCGCTCGTTGCGGTATGCGCGCGAACTACAACAAAACGGACCTTACTTAAAAAATACTCCTCATATTAGCTGGATGTTCTGAAGAGGCAAAATAAAAAGTTGTGATGGTCACTGCTTTATGTAATCCAAGATGCTGCAATGTTGTGACAGAGTGTAAAGCTTTTCTAAATGTACCTTTGCCTTCTCCATGCACATACAACCTACTATTCTATATTGGCAACCCATCATGGTCATTAGGAAGATGGCAAAGGGAGGGGCAACCAGGCAATTGACCTCTTTCTGCAGCCAGATGCCCAGAGAAAAATGACATCCTTGTGATCTTCTGGAGGTCTAACTATGACAGTTAATTTCTCCATCCATCTGCAGAAGTATGGCCAGATGACTCTTGGCCACCTTCACCCTCTTCTGGCCATTAAGTAGCCAGGGAGGCACATTGTAACAAAACATCAAGGTGCATGCTCTCAGGATCATTGTGCAAAGACAATATTGGATTCCTGCTTATAGAATTACCTCAGAAGGCCTAAGACCTTTGTAGATCACCAACAGGATTCCTGCCATTGTGTATATCATCAACAGGATTCTTGCCATATTCAGGACAATGAAAAAAAGCTCTGTGATCAGAGATATTGCATCTAATAACACGAGATGGATAGAAGAAGGGAGATAGCTGTTTTTCTGTCCTTGCCAGGAAGAATTAGCTTACAATTAGAATGAAGTTGATCTTTCAAATACAGTAATTCTCATTAATATTGTACATAGAATGGGTAAGGTGTAATTCTCCAGATGTTGATGGACTGCAGTGGTCAACATTCATGGCCATTCGTTATACTGTCTGTCTGATGGGAGATGCAGTTCAGCAACCTCTGGAAGGCCATATGATTCCTATTCATGTCACATATGCAGTTGTGTTCCTAATGCTATGTTGTATTGTGGGATTTTTATTGTAGGCCACTTGGATTGTTATTTGTATAGAAAATGGAATGTAAGTTATAAATAAATGAAAAATAAAGGCAGCTTGCCCAACCAACTAATGAGAAACAAAGGGCTCAATGTGCTTGCCCAGCTGATTCTGAGACAACAGTTGGGATTTGCTTAAGCTATCAACATCACCTTGCCAATGTGCAATATGTTCTTATTCATTTGGCCGTTTACCATTTGACTCAGTTGGAATTTCAGAATGTCTGAAAGTTTCCTGCAGAGTCTTGAAATATGCCGAGCTTTTGGGTCTTTATAAGCTTAGTTTCTCTCACTGAGCCCATGGCCTGTGGTCAGATCAGCCCAGCAGGATGGGGACATACTAAACCATTCCCTTTAATTGGATTGTTGTCACAGGTTTAATAGTACATTGTGTATACATTTGATTCACAGGTTGAAAAGCGGAGTCCCACACAGTCAAAATGCCCAGTATTTGCTTTTGGTTCATAATACCTTGTTTCATTTTTCTCAGAGCTTGCACAATGGCTGTAACATAGCATCCTGATATTTATGCTATGAAAAAGTACTTAAGAATAGCTCTGTGATTCCATTTTTTTATTGTCATAAAAATGGATAAGAATTAGATCTGATAGTCATTGTGGCCTATTTGGGCTGCTTATGCAGGGGATAGGCAACAGTGATTGGATTAGGGGGCAATCCTCTCCTTCTAGATAGAAATGAAATTATTATTATTATTATTATTATTATTATTAGTAGTAGTAGTAGTAGTAGTAGTAGTAGTAGCAGCAGCAGTAGCAGTAGTAGTACCCTGCCTCTCATCATGGTTCAAGGCAGGGTATGACATAGACATTCCCACAAGACACATCCAGTTCCCCAATACTACTCTCAAATGTCTCTATTTGCATTGGAGGCTCCTTTTGCCATTTTAAAAAGAATTCTAATGAAGGTAAAGGTGTTTGAGAATTCAGGGGGGAGTTCTGGATAGTGACAGATGCTTTGGAAGGGTCTATCTAAATGATTTCCATCGGATATATGCTATCTGTTTTAAAATGGAGATCTTATGGGAACTGACAGGGGGCTTCAAAGGCCACAAGGGTTAAGTGTTGCCCATGGGTAATACTTTCCACACCTCGTTTTAAGGCATGAAGAGTTGTCCTAGCTGTGTAAACTACTCACTGCTAACACTCCCCACGTATGCCCATAATATTTCAAGAGATTTTCAAGGAAGAAGGAAAAGGAAGAGGAAAAATAAGTTATGAAGCAGATTCACTGGTTTTTGTTTTTGCATGAGCTTTCATGGGGATTAGATAGACAGACAGACAGACAGACAGACAGACAGACAGACAGACAGATAGATAGATAGTCTCTGAATGGAAGCCCATGCTGAAAGAAAAAAAATCTCAAAGGTATTGCTACATTCCTTTTTTCTCCTTCTCCTTACCTTCTTCCTTTTTATGCTACAAAAGACGAACATAGCTACTTCTTTGAAGATTACTTACAACCTTATCACACGAGCCAAGCGAAGTGTCCCACTTCACCTTGCTTCATCTTTGAACAGCCCCCATGGTCCTCCCTTATGGAAATACTTCCCCCATAGATTTGTGAAGCATCATCTGAACTGCAAGGATCCATGGTTGCTCCATTGGAGCCAGCACAACACAAGCAAGCTCCCAGCGTTGGGAGGGAAGTGTTATGTGATGCTTCCACTCCAGTTGTGGGTGGGGCCTCAGCTGGAAGTCCAGTGATGTAATGGGATGGGCAACACACCCATCCATCTGATGAGGTCCATAAAGGTCCACGTCCAATGGCTTAGAAAATTTCTTTGGCTGACACATGTAAAGGAAAATGAGAAAGTGCCAGCTGTCTTCTTAGGCATGCCATTGTTTTGTTCCCACTTCACCTTGCTTCACCTCTGAACAGCCCACATGGTCCTCCCTTACGGCAATGCTTCTCCCATAGATTTGTGAAGCATCATCTGAACTGCAAGGATCCATGGTTGCACCATTGGAGCCAGCACAACACGGGCAAGCTCTCAGTGTTGGGAGGGAATGTTATATGATGCTTCCACTCCAGTTGTGGGTGGGGCCTCAGCCGGAAGTCCAGTGATGTAATGGGATGGGCATCACACCCTCCATCTGATGAGGTCCATAAAGGTCCACATCCAATGGCTTAGAAAATGTCTTTGGCTGACACATGTAAAGGAAAATGAGAAAATGCCAACTGTCTTCTTAGGCATGCCATTGTTTTGTTTGTTAGATTTGCATGTGATTGTTCTCACATTCTCAAGTCTCCTGTGAGCTTTAAAATGATGAATATTATCAGCAGACATCTTTAGGTAGCTTTAGGCATCTTTAGAATTCTATCTTCATAAGAGGGCTGGGAATCTGCTTTTGGCTTCAGAGGAAGCAAGCAAGATCAGCTTTTGTGGGTCATGAGCACACGCATAACCTCCATTTTCCCTGGTTAGGTTCTATTGAAATTATCGATTCCTGGTAATGATTAATGGAGAATGTCCATACCTTCTGCCAAGTGGGTGTGTTACCATATCCACGACAGAGTGGCTTTTAGCAATCTGTATATCTTTTGTAGAGAAGTGATTTATGCACAATATCTTCTTCAGCAGGATGCCCTGACCGCATTCCTCCCAGCCAGTCCTCCAATAACCTTCCTATTTCTTTCTTTTTCCTTTTGTTCTCCAGCTGGATAGTGCCACATCCCTCATCCAAGCAGCTAAAAACCTGATGAATGCTGTGGTCCTTACCGTAAAAGCTTCATACGTAGCTTCCACCAAATATCAAAAGGTCTATGGCACAGCGGCCGTCAACTCGCCCGTTGTGTCATGGAAGATGAAGGCGCCAGAGAAGAAACCATTAGTCAAGAGAGAAAAGCCAGAGGAGTATCAGACGCGAGTGAGAAGAGGTTCTCAGAAGAAACACATTTCTCCAGTACAGGCTCTAAGTGAATTTAAAGCGATGGATTCCTTCTAATTCACTAGGCTTCACCTCAAGGGGTTTTCTATTTCCTTCCTTGTTTTTGTATGCGTACCTGCCGACTTGTATGTGTCTGGCATGGGGGAACAAAGATAATGAAGCAGTGTCAATTTGCATGCAACCTGAGACTCTATTAAAGTCATTGAGCAATCTGCAATTTCCCTTCCCCAAAGACCTATGGTGTTTCTTACATTAAACAGAGGTCTATTACAATTGACCCCTTTTTCTACAATAGCAAAAAGAATTGGCCCCTTTGACATAGTGTTGTAAGGCCGGGTGGGGGAAGGGGAACCAGCCAACTCCAAAGGATGGAAAACAAATCCTTAATGCATGCAAGAAACATTAGGTTGCCAGGAATATTTATCAGTGGGAAACCTGGAAATTGCAATGGTTTGACCGTAAGAGCTTGTATTGCTTTTGTTACAGTGCAATCATGTAACTAGCCAATATGCTTGAATGTGTGACCCAGATTGAGCCGATTTAACTTTGAGTCATCTTCATTATGCTATGTGAATTTTTTAACAAAGATTATGATGATATAAAAAATCAATTAACACTTCTTTTAACCCGCATTTTCTTCTATTGTTTCTAGTAGTGCTATGACAATGCTTCTGTTTCAACAGTTCCCATTTGACATAAGCAAAGGTTTCTCTCTCTTTCTCTTAAAATGGTTTTCTTTTTGTCAACTGAATTTCTTCTGGTGGAGTATGAAGCACAACATGGTGGTTGACATTGCCTTTTGTATTATTATAATTATATTATTAATATTATTAGAAATAGAAGAACTGGTGATGGAATGTGTAGAGACAGGGAACTGACACATGTGAGAATTTAGAGGCAATTATGTAGGTGTAGCTTTGGATTACAAGGTATCTGATATACCACCGTAACCGCTAACTCTCAATAAACTTATTTAACCTTGGAATTTTCAGTATGGTTCGTGCTGCTCAACTACTTTATACACACACACATACCCTGTGTCAATCTTTGTTTGCCTTGTTATTGCATACAAGAACAAATTGTTTCAGCAATTTCCCCTCTGCTTCATAAAAAATACAATATAGTATGATCCCCATACCGAAGGTATCTAGTTTGTCACTGCAATGTCAGAAGACTGATTTACAACATCACAGCTTCCATAAGTATTCCAACTGATATTTGTAGTTGTTGCATGATCATAATGACCAATGTGCCTACCAAAATCTACATATAGGCATTTCAAAGGTACTAGAGAATGGGCCGTTTTAATACACGTTTGGTCCTTTTTCAGGTAAGGGACACGTTAGGCAGGTATCTGCAGATACATCAACAGGGTTCTCTCAGGATCCTGTTCCAGCCACTTATAGAATAATAGAATCATAGAATCACAGAGTTGGAAGAGACCTCGTGGGTCATCCAGTCCAACCCCCTGACAAGAAGCAGGAATATTGCATTCAAATCACCCCTGACAGATGGCCATTCAGCCTCTGTTTAAAAGCTTCCAAAGAAGGAGCCTCCACCACACTCCAGGGCAGAGAGTTCCACTGCTGAACAGCTCTCACAGCCAGGAAGTTCTTCCTCATGTTCAGGTGGAATCTCCTTTCTTTTAGTTTGAAGCCATTGTTCCGCGTCCTAGTCTCCATGGAAGCAGAAAATAAGCTTGCTCCCTCCTCCCTGTGGCTTCCTCTCACATATTTATACATGGCTATCATATCTCCTCTCAGCCTTCTCTTCTTCAGGCTAAACATGCCCAGCTCCTTAAGCCGCTCCTCATAGGGCTTGTTCACCAGACCCTTGATTTTAGTTGCCCTCCTCTGGACACATTCCAGCTTGTCAATATCTCTCTTGAATTGTGGTGCCCAGAATTGGACGCAATATTCCAGGTGTGGTCTAACCAAAGCGGAATAGAGGGGTAGCATTACTTCCCTGATCTAGACACTATGCTCCTATTGATGCAGGCCAAAATCCTATTGGCTTTTTTTGCCGCCACATCACATTGTTGGCTCATGTTTAACTTGCTGTCCACAAGGACTCCAAGATCTTTTTCACACGTAATGCTCTCGAGCCAGGTGTCCCCCATTCTGTATCTTTGCATTTCTTATCTCAATGTCCACACCCAGCAAGATAAGAGGGGCCTTTGCACATTTCGTACAAAAGCATTGTGCAAGAAGCTACTAAATACTGCATAGAATCCCTTATCCCAGTGGTTCTCAACCTGTGGGCCCCCAGATGTTTTGACCTACAACTCCCAGAAATCCCAACCAGTTTACAAGCAGTTAGGATTTCTAGGAGTCGAAGGCCAAAACATCTGGGGACCCACAGGTTGAGAACCACTTATCTAGAATTCCAAAATCCAAAATACTCTCAAAACCACAATTGTCCACATAAGTGGCTGAAATAGTGACATATTTGCTTTCAGATAGTACACAAATTTTATTTCATGACCAAAATTATTTAAAATATTATGTATAAAATTGTCTTCAGATATGCGTATAAATATGAAACAGAAATGAATGTTGTGTTTAGTAGGCTTGTGCACAGATCGTTATGGATGTTTGCCTTCAGCTTGTTCACTTGGTTTGGTAGTCCATAACGGCATGGACTCCTCTGGCAATTTTTTACTGGCTGCAACAGAGCAGTGACTATCAAAAACCGACTGCTTATGGTTTCTTTCGGTTACAACCTGGAGTGCTAGGAGGAAAGCAGCTGCTAGAAGGAAAAGGATTTGTGCTGTCGCATGCTGGGCCTATGACAATGTCTGTTTACAGGACGTGCTTTTTCTATGCCCAACGGGATGCTGGGGTGCCTCAGCTAAAGGGTCCCATAGGTTTCCCAACACAAAGTTCTGTAGAGGCTCAAAATAGGTTCAACAAAGTTCTTTATTAAGGCCTAAATCTTCGAACAAACAAATTAAATGCTTTATAATCTTGAAAAACTAGTAGCTTTCTCGATCTGCTAACAAGGGACAGGCAACTGCTTGATAAACTGTTCCTATCTTCTTAAGGGAAACCTTCCCACCCCTCCTTGGGCAATCTTAACCCTGCTGGTGTGAGGCCCCAACTCCTGGCTCCAAGCTGCGTTATGGATAGCCCGAGTGGTCCCTTACCAGGCAATGGTTGCTGTAGATCTGCCAAGCTGGTGTCCTGTAGATTTGCCCCACCAAGGCCATGGAACCATTCCTTTATTTTCAAGTAAAGCTGGCTATATTCCCCCAGCAAAGCTGGGGAACTGTAACTTTACTCCCCAGCAAAGCTGTAGAGGTTTTCCTTTTTCCCCAGCAAAAGCTGTAAGAAGTGAAGCTTTATACAGGTGGGACAGAGAAAGCCCACACATCTTGCTGTAAGGCTCCAAATGGTGAGACTGAACTAAAAGTCCCCTTTTCCCTCCAAAACTGGGGAAAGAGGTGGATCTAGAGTCTCTAACAATGACTGATAGGTTGTTGGCCCTCTGACTGCAATCTGGGGAAAGCTACCCAATTGCAAAATGCATGGCCCAAATGGATTCATGCAAACTAACAGCACAGGATTGCAGGAAGCAAGGTTTCTCAAGCTCTTTCTTTAAACCCAGGTCTACTCTACAGACCAATGGGAAAGGATTGCAGGGTGAGGTTTCTTGAGCCCTTTCTTTAAACCCAGGTCTGCTCTACAGACCGAAGGGAAAGGATCAGAGGAAGTGAAGTTTCTTAAGCCCTTTCTTTAAACCCAGTTCTACTCTACAGACAGAAGAGAAAGGATTACAGAAAGAGTGTTATCTTAACTCTGATGCTTTTAATCCAGGTCTTAATGCCCAAAATTACGGGAAGGTGAGTCTGGAAATTTCCCCCCTTTGCCGCCAATGAGCCAGATAGAAAACAACTCTTTCGGCTTCCCGGATCAAAAATGTACTCCTGAATTTGGGAGGCTCCCGAAAAACAGATTGGAACCCCCACCAAAATCTGAGACACCAAAATGGATCGTGGTTTACTCAGATTGCACAACTGGATTGTTTAGATTTGTGTCCCATCTGCATTATATACAAATATGCTAATGCAAGTATTTCAAAATCCTGAAAATCCTAAATACTTCTGATCCCAAAATATGTTGGACAACAAAGACAACCAAAAAGATTCTGGCCTTTAGGCAATGTATATTGCACCAGGGTTCACTGATATTCTCTAGATTGATTTTGAGACTGGCAGGGCTATATAAAGCTAATCTCTTCTTGAAACAACAATAAAATTGCCCACAAAACACAACATTCAATATTCTGGTCATTGTTCTCTTGCTGTATCTTCAAGTTTGTTCTTTCCTCCCCAAAGGTTTTCAACACTGGTAGAAGGGTGGTATTCTTTCCTTTTTGTTGCTTCAGCACAATAGTGCCTACAGGATCAAGTGCAGTGTTTTATTTATTCTTTTCTTCTTAATTGTTCTATCATGTATGTCCAGCATATTAGCATGAAAGCATTTGCTGACATAATCATTGCAAAGGCTCAGTTCTATGGAAATGTAATTATGCAACCCTTGTGCAGATTTAAGCCTGGTATGTGTATTTGTCATAGTTACAAATACTACAACTACAAGGGAAAGTATGTTATCCAGAGTGGATAAGGTATCCAGAGTCTCTTGACATGCCTAGCAAAGATGTGAGACCCATTTCTAATGTTCAACCTAAGAAGACCTGGACTACCTTAACATAATAGCAACTCACTAGGACACTCAATATATGTCTACATGATCCACATAAAGCAGATTCACCATGCAGCAGCTGCAGGGAGTCGATGATGTATGTCTGGATTCATGGCACAACTACTGCATCCAGCCAGTAATCTGTGTCTCCAGAACACGGAATTTATTCTGAAGGTTCCTGAATGTTTCCAGATGATCCAACAGTTTTAGAGATGTGAACAGCTGGATCTGGAAATATCCAGTCTGATCCACTGTCCAGGTTTTCAATGACCTCACTGCTGCATCATCACCATCAAGCAGGTCTCCCAATAGCTTGCTAGCAACATTACATTTATTTTTATTTATTTCCTATATTTATACCCCACCCTTCTCCCCCCTGAAAGGGGACTCAGTAATGTCATTTCAGACACTGAGCCTTGTGATCAGAAAAACAATGTTGACTGCATGCCTGTGGGAGAGAAAAGCTTGCTGACAGCAACACAGCAGTGGGTCCCCAATGCATGGCCAGAGTGCTCCAGGAAAGCATCATAACAGCTCCAGAGTCCTTCAGATCAGATTTATCCAGCAGGTGTAGATGCAATCCTAGATAAAGCATTCTGAGCTTCTCCGTGGAATAGCAGTGTATTAGCATAGCCATTATAGCCTTGCATTATATATATGAAATATCACAATGAATACTGCAATTATCATGCACTTAAGGAAATGCAAACATTTAAGAAACATGACACAAAATGCTTCTGGAGTCCAGATGCTTGCAGGTTTAAAAGTAGCACTGGAAGCTCATATTGCTTATGATGAAATCCCACGTCTGCTTCACAGGTGGCTAAGTTTAATATCTCATTTTAGTATTTCTTTTAAATTGTTCTTGAGTACCACTAGGAAAGAAGAAGACAACAATTACAAATACAAATACATGGGAGGAAAAATTCACTATCAGATGTGATAGCTACAGTAGTCTCACAATGATATTTGAAGTTGCTCTCTGTTGTGATCTTTGGTTGGTACTGAAACACCTGTTTGTGTTTGGGCTGGCTAAATGTGACTGGGTTTGGTTTCTTTGCTCTCTTGGTGTTTCCTTAATATGTCCTTGGCTATGTTTTAATATACATGCTTGCTTTTCCAATTACTTTCTTGATCGTGTATTGTCCTATTGTTTTGACTTTCGATTAGGAATAGATGGGAAATGTGGCATATAAGTTTTAAATAAATGCCAAACACTTCAAATGAAGATTAAAACCAGATTACCTCTTGTGGTGAAGTGTGAATGTTAACCTACAGTCAT